GTATTCCATGCCCTATAGCATCATGCACAGCAATAAAAAGGGAAAAGAAAGGGTTCTACAAAGTTAGCCGTCTTTTGCTCAGGAACTGCCTGGGCATTGGTCTACCTGTGGGAGATGGTGAGTTATTTCCTTTGCAAGCTTGTTTAGTTTTCTTTCTCTCTTTCTATTTTCCTTCGCTTATTAAACAATTTTTACCGCGATCCACAAGTTCTATTAGTTTTATCATTCCTTTCTTCTTCCCCTGTCCCACTGGGGTGAGGGGGTGGGTAGTAAGCAAGCAGCTGTGTGGTGCTTAGCTGCCTAATGGGATTAATCCACAATGGTCTGATATTCCATTAATTTAAATTAGTTTACAAGTTATGGACACCAAACTGACTTCTGTGATGCGAAAGAACTTTGGGCTTTTAACATTTCTGGAAATTGTAAGGAGCCCTGTCACAATGACATGATGTGTCTAGTTTGTATGTAATATATTAATAATATTCCACAGTTGCACTGACCAGTGTGGTTCATAGACAAGTGCATGATGCTTTCTTGAGATGCAGAAAGGGGAGATCTTGGAGTTGATGGTGCACGTTGAGTCGAGTATCATGGAGATAGAAGGCAAGAACTGCCTTTTCAAAGCAGAATAGAGCTGACTGAGAAACTGTTAATAAGTTATTAAGTAACTGAAACTTTCAAAACTCTCATGTGCTGATCTGTCAAAAATCTGAACTTTGTCTCAATAGGTCAGTATACTCTTAAAATGGAGTAGTTTTATCAGGAACAAAGCAGTTACTTTAGAATTGACTGTTGCAGTCCCACACATCAGTAAATATCTAAGCAAAATAAAGCATCAAAGTAAATTATTTCAAGCAAATAAAGTATCATGAGAACTATTATTGTAATACTTTCAGACTAAGCAACAAAACTTGCATGTTTATAAACATGCCAGCTACTTGAGTCCTTAAATAGTCCTGACTTACTCATTTACAGTGTGTCGTTTTATGATTATTTACTGTAATTAGAAAGAATCCTGACATACTAGCTTTCTCCACATGGTAAAATCTGATAAGGGCTTTCAGTGTTAGTCTGTTTTTGTTACTGTGTACATGTAGGAAAAAAACCTAAAGATTTGAACTTGAAAACTTGTTGTCACAGCAGGGCTGTCCACAGTGAACTACAAGTTTGCATTCCTACCACATGCAGTAAGGTTTTCTCTATAGACTCCTGTCACTGAGGAATTTAGCAAGGAACAAGAAATCTTCAGTCAGAGAAGGGCCACAAGTGTGTGAAAAGCTAGCCACACATAAACACTAAAGGTCATTAGCAGGCTCCTAGACTCCTATCTAGGAATTAGTTTTTTAGATCATTAACGGTAAAAAAGCCTAGGAAATGAATAGGACTCTGTCCTATTAAAAATTAGCCAGAACAATTAAAAGGTTTTCCAGTTTTTAATGGGAACCAGACCTGATGGCTCATTTTCCTTGTCTGGTGGGCTGTTTCTGCATTTTGAATGACATTAATTTTATGTCCTTGTATTTGTAAAGAAATATCTTGAACTACTTTTTTTGTATAGGAGTTGTAAACTATTTACAATGAGGGCAGTGAAATCTTGGGAGATGTAGAATCTAGTGTCTCCCTAAGATTGTGTTACTGAATCCAAGTCTTGTGACTCTGAACTATTACAGTTAATTGTGATAGGATTGCTTCTGGTGTATGCAAATGTATATTTTGCAAACTTCTAATACAATTGCTGTATTGTGCAACTCCCTAAGTTAAAATGCTCATTTGGCTGCAAATGCACAGCCTTTTTTGCTGTGAGGTGTCTCTCCTTATGGTGTTACGTGTTTCCTTAAACTCAGTTTTCTAATTTCAACAGCAGCCTTTCTGCTTTCATTTCAATGTAAATTCCTTGCTGCTGAGTGGATGACTGATAGTTATTTAAGAGCTGTCTTCTCCTCCACTGTATATTTTTCCTTAAGCTTGTAGTCATCTCTTCACTTTGGCGCAAGAAAATAATGAACAGTGCACCTTTAGTATTTTAAAATGTAATTTTTGGAGAGGTTTATTAAATACTTTCTTTCCTTATCTTTACATCTTAGCATGCATGCCTTACAAAAAAATCCAGAGAGAGGAAGAGAGAGAAAGAAGAGAGAGAGAGAGAGAGAGAGAGAAAGAGAGAAAGAAAGAAAGAAAGAGAGAAAGAAAGAGAAAAAAAACCCTGTAATGTGTGATTTGCCCACAGGCCTACCACTCTGGAGGAAAACAAGCCCACAAGTTCCCAAACTTTTTTACTTTATAGCTGTTATACTCATTTCCGTCCCCATATGCCTTGGGCTCCAAATCTTCCCACTTAACCCTCTGGTAATAATCAAGGTAATCTATGAATACAAGCCATATGATTTTCCTCAAAGGATAAAAAAGAAAAAATAAATTTGGATGAGGAAAAGTGAACTGCAGATAAATGGGGTGGGGATGGGGAGAATAAAAGGACAGGAGAAAGGCAGGACAAAATGATCTTCCTCACAATCTTAATTTTGTACTTGGTCATTCATTTACTCTAGATGCAGAATTCCTTTCTCCAGTGAGTGAATTGCCCTGTCATTAACATAAAATTAGCTCCAAATGGTCTTGGCCAAGAGCTTTGAAATATGTTAGTATAGAACCACACACTCAAAAACATGTGGGAATCCATGTGGGCTTCCAGATGTGAGAATCTTCTGTGTTACAAATGTAGTTATGTTTATGTAGCCTAATAATCTGCTCAGTGGATATACTGTAGATGCAGCTGTGCTTCAGTTGTGGTCTGTTATGTGGCGCTCTGCCTTAGTGAATGCATCTTGTTTCTTATAGCGAGTCCATTCGGATAATGGCTACTTGTAAACAAACACTGGCATGCAAGTTAAAATACTCTGTCATGAAATGTGAGGAATTCAGCATGAGCTAGTAGATTGAACTGAGAGTGGAAATTTGAAAAATTTCATGTTTCATTTTTGATTCCTCATAGTATTTTGCTGCTAATTGTTTTTCCCTGTCTGATTTATGTTATATCAGTGAATACTTTCTGCACTAGGATTAAAATTTGAAAGCCTGAGAAAAGTTTGAAGAAGTCATAATGTTTTCTGTGTTACCTAAATAAGCATTTAAGGTAGTGATTTGATTTCAGTTATATTATCAAAAATACAAGACTATCTGAATCCCAATATAATTACCTGATTTTGTGTTCATCTAACTAATGATCTCTACCCACAGAGATAGTCTGTTGATGCTCTTTTTTCTTTTTTTTTTTTTATGTTTAAGAGCCCGTATTATCTTGATTTCTTTAATGCAGTTGTCTTCTGTTGTATGTAGTGTAAGAAGGGAACTGGGAGTATCTTTGGGAAGAAAATTGATCTGTACAGGAAGACTAGTGGGTTGAATAGATCTATAAAGCTGAGCTTAAGCACATCAATTAGTGCCTGAACTCTACAGTATTCAATCTGTAGCAGTGACTATTAGCTGTTCTTAATCTTTGAATGTGTAAGTACAGAATGGTGACTGATGGTAACCTGAAATGTCATTCTTGTTCACTTTGTAGTGCCACTGAGTAATTTTTAATAGGCACAAGTTTTTCAAAGAAATTCTATTCCTTTGCTGACTGAAAACTGTCTTTATTCATGAACATGAATATTCAGTTTCAGGTGCAATCCATACACCTTGTGCTACTTTGGCTGTGATCTCCTTATGTCATATTCATCCAACAGGATCATATCACTCCTGTAGTTGGATCAGAGACCTTCAGGGGGAAAAAAAAATCAACTCTACATCTGATATTGATCTCTCCTCTGAAATGACAGTAGCTCCATCCTCTAGCACGGAGGAAAGTAAATTCTCTGTAATAGTCATTATGCAATGAATAAAATTGTTGTTTGACATAAATCACAGTAGCCTAAGAGTTCATTAGACTGTCAGCTGATCCTTTGTCTCTTGGGGGTTGGGTAGAACTGAGGCTTTTATTGTAGAAAGCATCTTTTTCCATTAAATTTTGCATATTGTTTCTAACATTTTAATATATATTATTATATCTCCTATATATCCTATTTCATGGGCAAGTGTATTATGCATATCTAAAATAGGTCTTGTACTTACCATTATAATATTTAAAGTGTCTTTGTGCTTCTCTATGTTCAGGAGCATTAAGGATTGTAAAAGCTGGAAGTAAATTCCCATTGCAAACCTCTCTGAGTAAAATATCCTTTGCTATTCATCACCATAACCAGCTAATATCAGTTGTTATCTTTAGTAGCAAATTTTAAGAAATGTCCAGGAAAGGAGACCTGTATGATACAAAATGATAGGAGTGTGACACTCTCTGAATAAGAAAATGACTGAAAAGATACATCTGTGAGCTGTGCAAGCAGTAACAGCTTGAAGGAAGCACTAAAACTGTCCTACAGAAGACAGAAGAAGACAGAAGAAGAATTTCTTCTGTCTCATGCCATGGGTCATGCTTGACATGGTTGAGAGAGGCTGTGTGACATTTCCCCGGTGAGAAGGTGTGAATACTTCAGTCAGTATGTGACATTGTGGGCTGGTGCTGTCCAAAACTGTTTCTGACCCCAGTTGCATTGTCCCAACAACCTTTTGGCAATGCGCTATTTTTCTTTCAGTAACTAAAATCCTAAAGTGTGTGTGTTTATGATACATAACAAACCAAGATATATGAAAAAGTACATGCTCTGTTAATTAAAAAGTGGTCAGATCTAGCGCAAGACTATGCAAAGTCAAAGGCCTCAGTGCCTTGCAGACATCAGACTTCTGTCCTAACTTTCAGCACAGAATCTATCTAGAACCTAGTGAGGATATTACATAAATGATGTGATTATGTAAATGTATATTTAAATTAAGTTTGAATTGAAAAACATTTATATCGACATAAGGGTTCTGCCAGTGCTTTTGTATCTCTCGAACTGTTTTATGGTGCTGCTTTTAATTAATTATATTTTGACAGAAGAAATTCTCTCTTTTTTTTTTTTCAGACTGAAGAACAAATGAGCCTCTCTGAAGAGCAGCTTAAGACCTTTCTGGAAGAATGTATGCAGCCTGAGAGAACAATAAGTAACGTTACCATGCCAAAGTCTCAGGAATCTCTTTCTTTTGGATTAAGTCCCCCTTCTTACACAAGTCAAGACTCCACTCTTCACTCCACATCTACTCTTTCCAAAATGTTAGTTGAAGACCATATTGTAGGGATGTTAATGGCTCAGGAAAAGGCTGGACTCGAAGACAAAAGCTTATGTGCAGAGAGCGAAATCCCTGGCTACTATATCAGCAAAGCATTGGCTGTTAGTCACTTATCAAAGGATTCACTGGCCCAAACAGAGGAACCTGATGACCTAGAAGGTTTACAGAAGATGGGAGATGAGAGTATTACTGAAGGTTACTTTATGTCAAGAGCACTCAACAGAAAAAGATTGAAGAAACCTTCTTTCTTGGGTGAACCATTATATTGCATCAGCATGAACAATGAGCCATGCACAGAGGCTGACATTCTCAGCATACCACTGCAAACCAAAGGAGGTGAGACTCTTAACAACCCTTTAGAATAGGCTTTTGATTATAAAGAAAAAAACCTAAGCAGGTTCTCACCAAAGATATGCACCAATACACAGATTATTGTGGTGCGCCAAGGATGTTCTTTTATAAAACTGTGCCAAAAATAATACACACAAAGTTACAGAATGTTTATTAAAATTCTTGCTCTGACATAATTGACTAGGAGTTTTATGAAATACATCACTGATGTTGATTAATTCTGTCAACTGGAAAACAGTGTTGACAACGCATATGGATTGCCTTTTTGGTAGTAGAAAGTCATGTTCCCTGTTCTGTGGAGAGTAAATATTCTCCCAGTAGTTGGTACAATAATTCACTGAAAAATGCAAGTGTTTTGTGTGAGTTTTTAATAAGGTAAACTCAGTAGTATAGAAACAAATATGACCTAACTTTATTAAAAATACTAAACTGCTTTAAGGAGTTCAAATTTACACATAGAAGATGTCAAAATTCATAAATACTGCACAGTTTCTATAAATTACTTTTAGTTTGGTAAAAGAAAGAAAGAAAGAATAGACTTTAACCAGCAAAAAATGAAAACCTCTACTTGGTGTTACAAAAGGATTGTGGAAATGTCTGTGGTTTTTATGTCCTTTACTTATATGCAATTATATAGAGGTATTGTAACTTAAATCTACATTTAGATTTTTAGCCTAAGACTGTTTCTCTTCCTGGAAAGCCAACTGTTCAAATAAGCCAGATTTTGGGCAGGTAAATCTTTCACTTCTTTCATAAAAGTATGAAGTTTGTGATTAGAGTGCTACAGTTTAATTTTATTAGCAATCAATACATTTTGCTTTGTTTGTCAAGATTGATCTTTGTTATACTAGTAATCTATTCTGAATTTAGAGAAACTTTTTTTCACATACCTTGATAATTTAGAATAATGTCCTAATATCGCTTTGCTATTTTATAATTTCTTAATTATGATCACATCTGTTTCCTTGGTTGTCTGTACTTAACCTTTCTACAGTGAAGAGAATGTTAATATTTTTCAAAGGGATTCCACTTGTCAGAAAGCAGGAAGGCTTGTTATTTCTGCTTTTACACGGCCAAACAACTTGATATCCAGACTCACCTGCCATATTTGCCCCTTATGAGATTTAGCTCATAGCTGCTGCAACACAAAGAAAATAGTACCTATAGAAAAGGTTGGGTGATTTTGGTTTTTTTTGGTTGGTTAGTTTTCAGCTACCTTCACATGCCAGCTGTGCTCTTCATGTAGATGCAAGCATCAGAAGAACAGAGCAAGGGAGGAAGGAAGCAGTCTGCCTCAGAGGAGAGCGGGGTGGCAGTGGTGGTCATAGGGAACACCACAGAGGACCACCTCTGCCAGCAGCAATTGGTCTCACGCAGGAGTAACATGATTACATTCTACACCACCAGTCTTCCTTGGCAACCAACAGTGAGAAAAACTCAGTACCTTGCTGCCTTCACAGCTTTAGATCTTTAGTTAGAACTTTAGTTAGATCTTTAGTTCTCCTTTAGTCCGAGCTGATGTAGTACAGTTAGAACCAAGTGTAACACAGACACAGTTACCACCTCTCATGAGTGTGTTTTAAGATGGGATGTGGTAAATCAAGCAAAACACCATGCACTGTGACCACTACATTGTGAAGTGAGCAGGTAACAGTATACATAGTCCCTATGAGGTGGTTATATTGCACAAGAGAGGAAAATTTTCGCTATTAAGTAAATTTTCATATAGGACATCTCATAGTAAAAGTCTATAAGGTGAATTTATTAACATTTACCACGTAATAATTTAATTATATTTGAGTCAAAATCATGTGTACCAGAGTAATGCAAGGGATATTTTGATTGTCTGTTTTCAGTAGTGACTGAGTAATGTTCGACTGTTTAGAACTCAGTTCTGTATGGTTAATAAACATCTTGGGTTTATGATTGTTTTGCTTACCAATTTTTTTTTTGAGGGGGGGAGTATTCTGAATTTTTGGTCTGTGATTTATTTTAATTTTTTTTGATAAAAAAGTAAAAACAAAACCAAGGAGATAATTACAGATATTGTAATTTCATCAGGCTTTGAATTTTTGTATTAGTGTCTAATTTTTTAAAGTGGTGTGAACAGGTAACTTTTAGGCACAATAAAAGTAAGTGCAAAAATAAAACCCCCTTCAGAGGTTTGTAACTGCTAAATATTTTACAGATATCCATGTTTAAGTTTAAATTAATTATATTTAGATGTATTGTATTCTGTTAGTATTAATGTTATGATTAAACAAACATCCAAAATTAGCATTTAAATAGGCAGCAGTCCATTCTTATTATTTTTGTTAATGTACTGTTTACAAGTAAATGTATAGCATAAAACAGAAAACCCTGATACCTTTCCATGGAATTAATTTGTTTCCCACAAAGGTGATTCAGTTCTGTCTGAAGCAATTATTCCTGGCCGTAAGCAAAAGGGTGTGATGTTTATCAAATCTGTAAAGTTGCTTAATGTATTCTATAGATAATCTAGTTGTTAGTTCTAGTTGATTAGATATGCTAATTGTATTGAGGAATGGAGATCCCAGTGGAATCAAGTTTAAGGCAAATACATCTGCAGATGAAGGTGTGAGAAGTGTCAGGTGTTATTTTTATTTTTATTTTTATTTTTGAGAGATATTTACATAGTTGAGCTTTGTTATGGTCAATTCTAAAGGACATGTAAATGCGTATGCATAATCTTTTGTAAGTAGTTTGATTTTCTTGCCAACTTACACATGGTTTAAATTCTCTTTAGTGCTGGGTAAGCAAAAAAACCTGTGTTTGTGTGAAGCTGGTTTAGCACAATTTTGGTTTTGCAGTCCTTATGGTACTGTAGTCTGTGATATTGATTTACTGTAATACATTAAATGATATTTTAAGAAAACATAATTATGAACATAATGCATATGTATATACTTGTGTATATATATATCTGAAGGAAACTCTCATGTGCCTTCAGAGATAAGTAATTCCTGTTTCTTGAAAGAAGCAGTAATCTGCATCTGGCTCATATGCATGTAAACATAGATGATGCTTAATGAGGGAAACAGAATCCAGACTTACCCATATACAGATATAAAAAGGCTGGTATTTCTCAGTTGTATGAGCCAATTAGTAATTATTTCCAGCTCTGTTTTGGGGGGGCTATATTAAGTTTTAAGTAGAAGTTGTATCACAAACTGTTTTTACTTTTTCATATTGCAAATAATGTTGTGCTTACAGTGGTTCAGCTTTTTTTTTTTCTTTATTTTTTCAGATGGTATGAACATTGAAATTTGAGGGGAGAGTGTGTGCTTCTTTGCACAACTGTTTTTCTGAAAGTGTGGTTAAACCTCCCTCAGTGATATTATTCTGATTCAGTATGATTTCGAGCAACCTGAAGGGAATGAATTATTATCATTGAAAATGTTCCATGAGTTGACTTATTCTTAAGAGATAATTATTATTGTCATTATCATATATTGTTGCAGTTTGATTTCAAAATAAACTCTTGTATTTCATTAAATTAAATACCTAAGAAATAAATGTACGCACACATTTGTGTACCTGTGTGTCTGATAGATATGCATGTCTTTGTGAAAAATGTAAAATAAAACTTGGAAAGTTCAGTATCTACTGATGGGGCTTTATTAGAGCAGATGTGAAATGTATATAATAATTTCATTTTTCTTCACACACACAGTTTACACTTTTCATAAATTTAGCTAAAACCTGGCCTCTGGTTACCCCACTGCAGTTTCCTGGAGCTTGCAGTCTGTCTGATTAAGAGCCCTGACTCAGGGAAGGACCCAGCTGTGTGCTAAGTTTTTTGCCTTGGGGCTGTCTGTTGGCTGGACAGCTGGTTTGGTTGAAGGTTTGACTTGCACAAGTCCTCTGCTGGATTAGAACATCAGCACTTGTCTGCTCAGGTCTGCCTGAATCTTGCCTGCAAAGAGTGTAACCACAGAGCCAACAGTGGTATCCTCTAGTTAAGAAATGTAACTAAAAGAGGGGAAATTGCAGTCCCTGGTGAAGGCTTGGCGTGAGAGAAAGTGAAGGAGTTCAGAAGTTTGTCCTAGCAGTTACTGGATTGTGAAACATTATAGTAATGGCTACCTGAGGAGAGGGTAATGCAGCTGGCTTGTGTTTGAGATAATAGTAACAATTCATTACAGGTTTTTGATTGAGTAGTCTTTACTATTTTTCCTGATTTTCTCTTTATTTACTCAACTGATGGTCAGTTTTTCATTTCATGCACTGAAGTGTCAGAATAAGAGGACATTATTAAAAAAACATGGTACTTTTTAAAAAGTTTTTTTGTTAAGGTGGAGAGATATTCTAGCAAAGAAGATTCAATAGATTTTTCCCATTGACAAACTCTCATGTGATTTGACCTAAAAGGACAAATTATTTCTCAGATCCTATAGTAGCCATTTAACATTCACCAAGAAAAGATGTACAGATAGAATGTTAAATCTACAATGGCTGTTACCACATAGGGCTTACTTGATCTAATCTGAATGTTTAAATTAATGCACATATCAACCCAGATTTTAGTCTAATTTACAGAGTTGCCATGAGGAGTGGATGCACTCCTGAGGAAGTGGTAATCATGTGGATATAGCAGAGATCAGAATCTAACCTACTTGCTTTTCATTAAAATCAGAATGGGACATTATATTTGTAACAAGCAAGTGCTATTTCTTCTTTTATTTTCTGATATTTTTACTTACTCCGCAACAGCAATAACAAACCTGTTGATACTGGATGTTCTGCATAGGATTGCTGTAAGCACATTTCATGGAGCTTTGTAAATCTCACCTAGATGTATTTCTCATCTTCCTTAAAGATGTTAAGCCTGTGTCATAATTTCGATAGCATAAATATGATCAAAGCAATACTAACAAGATTTTTCAAGACTATTTTCTGTGACCATATGATATTCATGCATTACTGTTCACTGGCTGTGATCTTTCCACAATCCAGTTATTTTCACATTGAACTTGTGTTTTATAGAGACCTTCTCAAAAACAAGTGTTCCAAGTGCTTGGGTAGTTTTTTCAAAAAATCAAGTTCTGCTTAGAGATTATATATAGTAAATAATTTTTCATTTTCTTGGTTTATTATGTTATCTTAACTCTCTTGTTGTTGAAAAAGCTTTTCCTCAAGGAAGGGTCGCCGTTGCTGATTAAGCTTTGCAACATCCCTGAGGCCATGAATGCACTTTTTATTCACCTCTGGCATTTCAGGGATAAGGAGGTAAGTTTGAATGACTGTTGACTTGAAGTGTATATTCCAACAGGAGCTCTGTGACTTAACTTTTAGTCTTGGGAAATGCTGAGCACCCTGCACCAGTTGTAGTCACTGCAAACCACAGGGATGTAGCACTTGTGGCCTGGTACTCCAAAGGTGCGTTTGGTCAGTACCCAAACTCAGAGACTGTCAAAAACTAGTGACCTGCTATTTATCTGTGCTTTCTTTCTACTGCATTATATTAAATAACAGGTTCTTTGGGAATAGTTTCTTTCTTGATATTACAAGTGAAATATCAATTCCAACCCTCCCTTTTTTTTTTTAAACTTCCAGTTGTAAGTAAAACTGTAGGAAATAAAATTATTTGGTAAAATATGGTAAAATATGTAAGATGTACACAATAACAGAGATATTATAGAAAATATGTGACAAGGTCATTTGCTGAAAAATCACCAATACTAGGGTAAAAGGAAAGTTGAGCCCAGGAGGATTCATGGGTTTTTCTTTGTTTTTCCAGTTACTCTGTGTTGTGACCTGCAATAACCCCTCTGTCGGGGCTCACCACTTGAATTCCAGCTGCACTGGAATGTGGCAGCTTCTCCTCAGGGAGTGATGCTGCAGTGATGATTAGGATATTTAAATGAATTTTCTTTTGCAGCCTAACTCAGGATTTGGAAACAGGTTTTCTGAAATACATACCTTCATCTAGCATAAGTTGTATTTGGCAAAAGATTCTATTTACTAGCTTCTTAACCATCTTTCCTAGCTCCTTCCATCCCAAAACACAGCAGAGCATAGGAGACTGATTTTTAAAGTTAACCTTCTGACATTTGGGCTTTGAGATGTTTGAGGAATAAGAAATTTTGTGTGTGCATGTAGGTTTATGCTGTTTGTTCTCCTTATTTCATACTATGATTTTACAGGACAAGATAGATGCTTTTGTTCCAAAAATTTAATATCGGTGAAATCAACATACCCGTGAAAAGAAGATTTTGGTGTGCTTGTATCTAATTCTGAGCAATATATGACCAAACCTTTCTGTCTTTGTCACTGAGACCCTTCAGTAATATACATGCAGTGCTGCCGTCTGTAGTGACCGGTGCTCAGCTGTTGATACTGATTTCCTCAAGTGGTTATGTTTCAATGCTGCACTGTTTGCCCTTTTAAATTACAAACCCCACATTGTTTTCCTCTGAAAGTGGAAAATAAGGATGATTCAATCATTTTCGTGAACCATCGTGTATATATATTAAATATAAATAATGTGTATTAATTGAAGATATAATTTACAAAATATACTATAAATTTGAGTAGGATATTTTAAAGAACTACAGCATTGATTTCAGTATACTGTAGTGGTATGAGAAGTTCAGTCCAGCCTGACAGTTATTAAGATTTAGAGTGATTTGAGGGATTTTTATTTCAAAGAGCACTGAACAAACTAAATATCCTGATTAAAAAAAAGTAAAATTTTTTTGCATCTAGGCAACAATAAAATGAATGAAGTTATTCTTACATGCCCAGAATTCAAGTTTAAATTAAAGTAGTTCTACCAAGGGGTAAAAAACCTTTCAGTTTCATCTTAAAAAAAAAAAAAAAAAAAAAAAAAAAAAGAAGAAAACGCCCCACAAAAATTCTCAGCCTTATGCCTTTTTCCAAGCCAGACATTTGCTGGTATCTACTTTGTGGATCTGTAGTGCATGCTTTCCCTCTCACTTCCCGAGCAGAACTCCTGCAGAGTCAGTGGGCATGCTGAGTGCAGAGTGAAAACAGGCTGTGCAAAAATTATCTGCTGCATAGATCAGAGGAAAGGGCTGCTTAAACATGTCATCGGAGTAGCAAGGACTAGTCTAGAAATGCAAAAAAATATGCCAGTAAATTCATGTGCTGGAAAGGGTGCATTTTTACCTCCAGATCAGGGAGTGATAGGTGAGAGGCAGTTGTTTGTGTCTCAGTTTCTGTAATTTCAATAATTATAAGAACTTTTATATTTTATTAAAACCCCTTATTTGCTAGATAAAATTTCAGCAAATGAAATGAGAATGCACCTTTTTGTTATGCTTCTGAAAAAAGGCTTTCTAAGCACAGCTTTGAATAATACCTCTCTCTCTTGCTTTTTATATGCAAAATCTGCCACAGTTGACACCTCCAAGAGCTGACATTTCCTCCCCCACTTATGAATAGAGAGCCTCACCTCTGGTAATCTCATGCAGTTTGAAGGGTAGACGCAGAAGACAAGGTGGTTTGGCAGATCCCGAGGAAGCTGATAAATTAGGAGGGTTTATGAAATCTGGGGAAAAATAACTGATCTTTTTCTTTATTTTTCAACACATGCATTTATTGAGAAATAATTGTTCCTTTATTTGTAGGGACATTTAAAGGTCAGAAAAATAGTTTCCTTTTTAGATAGAATAGAGGCACTTGAATACTACTAATGCCATAACCTACATTTATCCAATTATACGTTTCGTTGAAGGATTGGCTGGAATCCAGATGCAGTAGTTAGAATAAAAGGCTCCCTGTCATTTAAGTCTATGTGAAATAGTTCGCTGCTTGCAATTGAATCTGCAGAACCTTATCTGTTAAGCTTAAAAAGCCCCCAGTAAACTGGAACACTCTCGAGTGTTTAGTAACTTCCAGAGTGCTAAAGTGCATGAATAATTTTGCTTTGTAGGCAAGTATTCTGCATTTAGAACTTTTGAAAATACTGATCTGTGCCATTGTTTTCTTATTGTTTGCTTTGTGTATTTGGTGTGCATAGTTTTGGTGGGAAGAGTATTGCCAGAGGCCTTTCACCCTAATTTTCCAATAACACTGAAATGGTCTCTCCATATGCATTTTGTGAGCAGAGTCATCAAGGGAGACTGACACAGTATTTAAGCAGCACTCGATTTAGCCCTTGTACATGTTGCCTAGGGTAGCAGTTCTTGATTTTGAAAGCAGTTGAAAGATTAAAGACAAATGATGTCTGGGCTTCCTGGGATTTGCTTAAATTTGAAAATCTAAGTTTCTCTATGATACTTGTCTAATTTTATGGATTTCTTGTGGAAGATTTTATCTTCAAGACTTCTGCTTGCCAATCACTTTTCTCTAATGAGTTCCCTTTCTCTTTTTATAACTCTGCTTAAATATTTATACAACTTTGTGCATTTGTTTTTTCTGTCTTGGAAAAGATGAGAAATAAGAACTAGAACTCACTTTGTGGATACTTTAAGATGCTCACTTCGGTAATCTCAGCAATCCTTTCCAAAATGAATTTATGTTGAAAATCTGCCAATTACCATACTATGGATTTCACTGCAAAAATCGTGCCAATATCAGTGAAAATTGCAGTATTGTCATAAGATGCAGATTTGCTATGGTTATTTCCATCTTTATAGCTTATAAATATCTACAGGTTAAACTGCTACACCTGTTGAATATAGTTTTGATGCAGATAACTGCCTTAAAATGTAAGGTAGTGCATTTGCTTGGGCTCTGAGAAGAGCGTGCTGTGGTAAGAAAACACTGCGCTCTCTTCAGTAGCCTGAAATTCAAAGATTGCTCATGCAAAAAAAGTTGGCCAAATACCAAATAACGCTAGAAGTGGCATGCATCAGTTGGTACGCTTACTTGTCCCACTGATGAGTCTCTAAGGTTTTGGGAGCAGCAAATTTCTGACAGGCTTCACCTGCAGAGTTTCTGCCCTGTGAAGTGTGACCATTATTCATGTTTTTCTTTAGTAGTTGTTTCTTTGGGCAAGTCAAGGCTGAACATACCTCAACTATGACTCCTGCTTGTGTCCTACTGTATTCACACTCACCAAGCAAAAAGTGGGTGGACTTACTTAAGCTATGGGTTAACACAAAGCACGTGGCTTGCCTTTTTTATTCCAGCGACAGTAAAAGCTACATAAATGCATGTAATAAATTAGATGAAAGTTAGGTATGGGCTCAGACAAGGTCATTGGAATAGGTTGCCAAGGCTATCTTCCCCACATCAGCAGCAGTTCTCTGTTTCAAACTTCTCATTAAATCTACATATATCCATATGGAGACATATCTATTCAGACAACTGGTTGGTTTTAGGGTATCTCGTTCTTCCTGCAAGTACAGTAAAGAGATCTCTCCAGGTGGGAAATGTCTTTGGTTTTTGTAGTTCTCAGTCTTCTTGGTGTCCTTGGGAGGCAAGAAGAGAGTTAGAGGTCAGAACTGCAGGAGATTTGGTACAGCAGCCCCAGATAAAATCAGATGGGTTACACTGACAGTACACTCCTAGGACCCCATCAAGCAGACAATCCTGTAACTGGTGAGGGCAGAAATTCAGCAGTCCCTCATATTGTGGAAGCAACACAGGAGCTCTTTGTTCTTGTTCTCAGTGGGAAAAAAATCAAATATACATGACTGCCCTCAAAAGTTTAGTGACACAGAACAGGACTCTTTCTCCTCAGGAAAAGGAGACTTAAAGATTAACTTCTGTATCTGCAGGACCCCCTCAATACACTTCTATTGTGGGTATCTAGCACCCCAATAGCACCTGGCTTTGCTGAGCAGCATGAGATGAACTGCTGCAAGTAAAGACTGAGCAACCAGTCTTAACTGCTCTTATTTTTAGCAGCATGTTCTGGAAGTTGATATAGTGCCATGTCATCAGCTTTTTGATCACACTAGCACTTTCAATCTTGAAGAGTCTAGATTCCTCTGCCCCTGCAAATAGCCAATATGCTGCCTCTTTCCATGTGAAAGGGGGTATGATTGAAATCCCTCAGTGTTTTGCTTTGTGGCTGCATCAAGAGCAGCATGACTGTGTCTACACTTACCGAAATCTTTAAGTGCAGCCTTCAGAATCAGATGTGCCAGCTGCCCGTGCTATATAACTGCGAAAGTGCCTTGAAATGGAGCAGCTGTTGTACCCAGGGAACAGCTCAGGTGCAGCCCCTCAGCATAGTTTTAATGTAAAGAGTATAGAGATATCTTGCATTGAAGCCAAATTTGACAAAAATAACACATCAGTGATCCAGAGATTTA